TCTGAAGAAATCTGATTTCTGAAGAAGGGTCTAGGCCCGAAACGTCAGCCTTCCTGCTCCTCTGATGCTGCTTGGCCTGCTGTGTTCATCCAGCTCTACACCTTGTTATTTCAGATTCTCCAGCATCTGCAGTTCCAACTATCATAGAAATAAGGCCATCTGGGTAGAACTTTGAAATTAAAAAAAGGACGATTGCCTTGCTGGGATTATGCTATGGTCCTCCCAACAGCCAGAGAGGGATAGAGGAGCAGATATGTAGACAAATGTGCCTGTAAGAATCACAGATTAGTGAATGTTGATATGACAGGGCACAATATAATCCACAGATTGCTTTGAGTGGGCAAAATGAAACTAGGACTTCACTGTTTGGGGCGGCACAGTGGCTCAGTGGTTAGCACTGCTGCCTCACAACATCAGAGACCTGGGTTCGATTCCACCTTCGGGTGCCTGTGTGGAGTTTGTATATTCTCCCCATGTCTGCACGGGTTTCCTCTGGGTGCTCCGGTTTCCTCCCACCATCCAAAGATGTGTAGGTTAAGTAGATTAGCCATGCTAAATTGCCCGTAATGTCTAGGGATGTATACGTTAGCTGGTTTAGCCATAGGGAATGGGTCAAAGGGGGGTGGGGTGGCACTGGGTCTGGGTGGGTTGCTGTTTAGAGGTTTGGTGTGGGTTGAATGGCCTGCTCCCACACTGTAGGGATTCTATGTATAAATGAACAGCATAACACAGAGGGCAGATATTTTCTCAATCAATCTGTGCAGAGATGTTACGATCTATTCTCTGGAGCAGGTGGGACTTGAGCCTGTGTTTGCTTATGTTCAGACATAGTGAAACTATGACTGCGCCACAAGAGCCCTCAGCACAGAGGTGTACAATTTGTCTTTTCTTTATGTTTGCTAACAGGGGGAGCTTCCACTTAATGCCATAACGATATTTGAACAGGACGAATTTGACAGCGATTCAAATACACTCCTGATAGAAGGTGGGTACAAAGCAAGCACCCATCACAATATACGTTTGTATAGCACCTTTTAAATAGCAAAATATTTCAAAATGGTACGCAGAAGCATTATCAAACAAAATTTGATGGCTAGCCACATAAGATGATATTAGCTAAGATAACCAAATGCTTGATCGAGGGACTACTTTTTAAGGCTCTTAAAGATGGGGAGAGGTACAGAGTGAATTCCAGAGCTAGGAGCCGACATGCCTAGAGGTTCCACTGCCATTGATGGAGAAGCGAAAATTGGAGAGGCCAGAATTAGAGAAGTATGGACATTTCAGACGGATATGTGAGACTCTGGAGGATGTGACAGAAATAGGAATGGGGCAGAGCACTGGAGGGATTTGAAAATAGAGACAAGAATTCGACACAAAGCCAATTATTCAAATTCAAAAACAGAAGGTACTGGATAAACTCAGCAGGTCCAGCAATATTGTGGAGAGAGGAAACAGAGTTAACATTTTGATCCCAGTGACCCATCTTCAGAACTGGACATGAAACCTTAACTCTGTTTTCTCTCCACAGATGCTGCCGGACCTGCTGAGATTTTCCAACACTTTCTGTTTTTGTTTCCGATTCCCAGCATCCGCAGCTCTTGGTTTTGCAATTATTCCAATTATTGTTTTGTTATTGATAAAAATATCTGGACATGTGTCTTGTGCAAACAAAAGGGGTGGGACTGTGACAGTCTCGAGGTTTGTGTAGGTGCGTGGGTCTCGAGATTTGCAAGCAGGTATGAGAGGGACAAAGACTGCTGTAAAAAGACACAGATGTATTAATCTTCGTTTATATCCCACCCAGGCCATTTACTAAGAGAAGTTCTCTGATTCTGAGTGAATAAGTCTCTTGATCCACACTTTTCGAACTTTATACATCAGATCTCCCACCCAATCCTGTGCCTGTCCTAACAGAACTAACATATATCAGAGAGTAATTGCCAGTCCCACGCTGAACCCATCAATCAGTTAACATCCCTGTGGGAGATTGCCAGCTGCTGAATTTTGTATAGATTATCACGAATTAATTAACTTTTCTGTATTTGCTGTTATATTTCAGGTAAAATGATCAACCAAATCATAGTGTCGTCACAGAATAGAATAGCTCACCAGAAATTGATACATCACCTGAATGCTGCAGGGGTCACAGTTCAAAAAGCTCCCCATATCAATAAAGGACGTGATTACAAACATTCTCCACAGTGCAGAGATCAGGTAGATGCTATTTACAACACATTCAGACATTTGTACCATTCGACAGTGGGAAAGACTGCAAAACAATTTTTTAACATTAAAGACTTTCTTCCATCTTTTTATGCAATTAAGTAGTGGATCTGAATTTGTTTATTTTTGCGTTTCCCTATGTTATTGTAAAGCCTTATTGTTCCTAACGGTATTCATTATTTGCTTGGAACTTTGTTCCATTAGCGTCAGAGAATGTTGACGCATTTGGGTGAAATTCCTTTCTCCATAATTTTAACTAAAGAATTTAGCCCGTTTGTAACACCTGGGTGGGACCTGCAGTCAAATAGCAGATAGATTAACATCATGCACGTGCATTAATCGTATTCCTAATTTATCATTTCAGTGTTGTTGCTTTTCATTGCGAACAGTTGGCACCTCCCTAGCTATTTCATGTAAATTGTATCAGTTGCCTTAAGTGAAAGTTATTTGGTCTTGCATCGAGCTCCAACCTTCTATTGCATGATTCAATTTTTTTGGATAATTCAATCTTTTCTATGGATTGAATTGACTTTGAAAGATTCAGTGCAAACTATATATGCTACATGAGATAGTGGAGTCGATTACAGATGGGAATGGACATTAGTCATGCTCCCAGAGGCAGTTTCATGTGCCCACAATCTGACCCTAACCACGGACAAAATCTATTGTTTTTTTTATTCCTTCACGGGATGTGGGCGTCGCTGGCCAGGCAGCATTTATTGCCCATCCCTAATTGCCCAGAGACCAGTTAAGAGTCAGCCACATTGCTGTGGGTCTGGAGTCACATGTAGGCCAGACGAGGTAAGGATGGCAGTTCCCTTCCCTAAAAGACAATAATGAACCAGATGTTTTTTTCTGACAATTGATAATGGATTCATGGTCATCATTATCCAGAGTTCCTTTTTGTTTTTGTCTTCTTGTCGCTTTGTGATTAAAACCTACGTTAATTATAGTTTGCAGACAAGATCAGTCCCTCATTGGAATCTCACAGGCATGTCAACAGCCCGATGACAGTGTATGGAATATTCACATTTCCCCAGAAACCGGTCGAAATGATCTCCACGTCGGAAGACTTGCCTACGCTGGTTACTACAAATGTGACACATTCAATCACCTCTCCTGATTACGTGGAGCCTTACACACCTCCTCCAATGAGGCTCTCAGTACCAGCCGAACCCTCAATGCTTATTTCAGTAAGTGATATTTTGTTCAATAAAATGTTACAAAATTACCTTACAATTCTGTATATATATTACCGAGTTATTTTATTTAAGTTAAAGCCATTGTGAAGAAGAAAAGAAAATGAGATTTGCAGGGGATGCGACAATTTATTACCACTCTTGGAAGCAAATTGAAATGATGGAAATTAAAGAATTATTTCCACGTTTCTGGTCTGTTCATAACGTAGGCTGACATAGGATGGAATGCATTGCCTGGGAGGGCAGTAAAAGTGGAAAGTCTCACAATCTTTAGAACGTACGTGGATGTGCACTTGAAATGTTATAACATTCAAGGCTTTGGGCCAAGTGTTGGAAAATGAGATTAGTGCAGATAGGTCAGCACAGACTTGATAGGCTGAACGGCCTCTTCTGTATGACTCTGTGACATGTAACTTGCATGTAGCAAGATCCACGTTCAATAGTGATATCAAACCACTAGGTGTTTCGTTTAGATAGTTTTGGTTGAAGAAGGAATGTTGACCAAGATGTTGGGAGACCTCCTTACACTTCAAATGTGGCATGAGATGTTTTCACTTCTTTCTGAACGAAAGGTGGAAGCACATCTAACACTGGTTAAACTTCTCATCTGAGAGCTGGCATTCCTAATAATGCAGCCATTGGAAAGTAGTTATTGACTTTAACAAAAAGGTTATACAAATGCATAATAACTCTGCTAATCAGGGTTAAGAGAGCTGTTGCAGCCTAGTTCCCAACTGCACTACAAAATTCCCTAATTTCCTCACCTCTTAACACTGATTGGCATTGTCATTGGACTTTAGGACTGTCGGGGTTCAGAGAACTCTCACTGCATAGTGTCCAAATTCCTCATGTTTCTCGTCATTTGATGCTGGTCGGCATTCTCATCGTGACCTTTTCTTTTATATATCCGTGGAATGCAGGCATCACTGGCTGTCCAGCATTTTTTGCCCACCTCTAGTTGCCCTTGAGAAGGTGGTGGTGAGTTGCCTGTGTACCACCTTTATCAGGGTGAGCTTGATCCATTGACCGAAAGTCCTCCTCTGACCCATGAACTGCTCAAATCTTCTAGTGTACATTGAAATTAAAATCATTGAATGAAGGCTGTCCTGTACACACGACTCTTGCATCGTGTTTGCTTCATGGTACGTGTTGTTAACTGTTCTGTCAGAGGATGATATGTCAAATATGTGGCTTTTGGATGGTGTTTCAGCTGTAGTAACGGCCTGCATTGATTTCAGTCTGCATACAAGCACAACTCTTCGCCCCTGCCGATCCGTACAAACAGTATGAGATTCTCAGAACGGAATGCCCTTGCCTTATCCCAGCCTCCACCTTCGACTTCGGAAAATTTGCTTACTGCTGAGCATCGTTTGTCCCTGGGCTATGCAGATCCTTTTCCAGGTTTGAAAATGCGGCCAGCAGGTTCTGGGGACAGATCCTCCCATCAAAATGTAAGTAGAGAGGTCGAATTTGCATATTTGCAAATATTCCAGTGATGAATAGCATAGAATTACTTGGTCAACAGCACTGAATCAGGCCATTTGGCCCACCTAGAATATACTGGCATGAATATGATTCTGCTTCATCCAATGTTATCAGCTATGCTTCTGTTCTTTTCTCCCTTATTGAAGTATGGAATCTGATTTTTCCAAACTGGCTGTCTGGAACAGCAACTATGTTAGTACCACTTCTCTATGGAATCTCTGAATAGTCATTACATTTTTTTGTTTCTATATATGTTGTTTGCCCTTAAATGCATCCAAACTGTTCATCTCAAGTACTCCACGTGACAGCAGAACCCCTATTACTTCCTGTCTATCGGCCAGAAGTTTTAGGCTGAAGCTTGTTTTGACATTCCTTCAAGCTGCACTGTTTCCTATTCGTATAATAGTTGTCTTCATTTTCCTGCTTAGGCTTCTGCAATCTAGTTGTAAGAGCAAAGTTCGGCGAGTGTCAATTCTTTGTCTATTTACAGGGAAGAGGGGAGTCAATCAAATTCAGTAATATCGGAGTTTGCCAATGTATTTAAGAGAAGTTATTTTGTTGTCCAGTCTAAACAAATTTCTCATTTATTGAGTTTAGTGCAACAACAGTTGATAGCTCCTCAACAGGGGCCGGTTTATCTCAGTTGGCTGGATCGTTGGTCTGTGATGCCAACAGCATGGGTTCAATTGAATTCTCATCATCAGCTGAGGTTACCATGAAGGACCCTCCTTCTCAGCCTCTCCCCTCGCCTGAGCTATGGTGACCCTGAGGTTAAACCACCCTCAGTTATCTGTCTCTAATAAAAGAGGAACCCTATGCTCTGGTAAGACTATAGCAATGCAACAACGGTTCCTCAGTCCTTTGTCTCTTTGATTCTCAATTTATCCTGTTTCCCTTTATTGATGTAAACAACCTTGTATCTAATTTTTTAAAAATAAGTTAAATTGTGCGCTGCAATAGAGACTGGCCATTTAAGTCCCATTAGATCTGGTGGGGTTCCTGTATTTTAATGCAGCCTGAGGTTTCAGACTAGCTTAACAACCAATCCCCAGGACCATCCTTTCTGTTTAGCTATCACAATATTATTAAAAGTATTCAACTCCTTCATAAACTAAATTTCCCAGGGATTGTCGTCAAATCTTCAAATTTTTAAATTTGTTTCACGGTTGCATGGCAATGTGTTTTTTTTTAATTGTCCATCCCTAATTTCCCTTGAACAGAGAGGCAGATAAGGACAGTGATGATTCACTGGGCTACCAATCCAGAAAGCCAGATTAATGTTCAGTGGGCATGAGTTCAAACCTCACTATGGCAGATGGGGAAATTTGAATTGAATAAAATCTGGAATTAAAAGATAGCTTAATAGTGGCCGAAATCTACTGTTCTTTAACTGCCCTCTGGGCAACTTGGAATGTGTAATAAATGTTGGCCTAGCCAGTGATACCCATATCCGATGAAAGGATTAAAAAAAACCTTTCCATTGTCTTGCCACATGCTCTAAGGCTTCTCTTTAACAATATCAGTGCACTTGAACAGGATTTAAATGGATTAACATGTTGTGATTTTTCAAAATCTCCCATTTACCAAACACCGACAGACAGAGTGCAGCCCACATTATTTGTGTGTTTGTGTGTGTGAATGCATGTTATATACACATCTGGGTTTGGGAAGTTTTGATAAACTTTGATAAACAAAAGATTGTTTTCAACAGTTGAGCTGACTTTATTACTATGTTTTTAATTTGGTCAAAAGCGCCTAGAGGTTTGTTGCAGTGAAATATTGTAATCTGTTTGCTGAGTGAGCTGACATAAATCTTCTTTTCTGCTTATTTCAGATGGCCGATAGTAAAGGTTCATCAAAAAAACTGCAATTGAGAAACTTCAGGACGTCAGGAACCAATATTTCTAGTTCATCTCCTGTTTCATTGCATCCTGGCAGCTTTACAATCGACTGTTCACCGAGTGATGAAAGTTTGAACAACGCTCTGTCTCCAACTTACGCTGTACCTTACATTCCATTTAAGCTACGACCAGCCCCTCCTGCAAAGCCTCTTTGGCTCAGAGAGGTAAGCAATACTTGGCCAGTACAAAAGTAGAACTGGGTCAAATATACAAATGCTTAGTACCTAAGATTGGAATCAGTAAACATCGAACACTTGCGTGTGACTGGAAATATATTAACCTTAAGAATGTTTACTTGCTTTGAAACTAGTTCTGCTATTGGAGATTGGAGTTCCACCATGCAGTACTAATCACTAAGCACATTAATATACCCTATTACTTTGAGTTAAATGGATTAAAACTTCCTTAAAATAACAAATCTGTGAATGCAAGCATATATCTAATCATTTTATTTCACGGGGCGATCAAGTATTTTGACTCAGTTGGAGGCAATCATGCTGTAATGTTCGGAGTCAGAAGTCGCATAACACCAGGTTACAGTGTAACAGGTTTATTTGAAATCACAAGCTTTCGGAGCACTGTTCCATCTGATGAAGGAGTAGTGCTCCGAAAGCTTGTGATTTCAAATAAATCTGTTGGACTGTAACAAAAATAAAGTTGCTAGAAAAGCTCAGCAGGTTTGGCGGCATCTGTGAAGGGAAAAAACAGAGTTAACCTTTCGGGCCCGGTGACCCTTCCTCAGAACTGGACTGTGACCTGGTGTCCTGTGACTTCTGACTTTGCCCACCCCAGGCCAACACCGGCACCTCCATGTAATATTCAGAGGTTGTAGTTCAAGTCCCAACTCTGGTGCGTTTTATCCAGGTGAACACTTCAGTGAGTCCCCAAGAGAATTGAGGACACAGTCGTGCTTAGCTGTGACACTTACAACAACCTGCCTATTCTCCACCTCTGTTAGGAAAGACAATTGAGAGACTGAGCTGCTATCCAAGGTATCACAGCTTCCTTGCAAAGGGCATAACGGAAAATCGGAAAAATCAAAATGACCAAAATCCTGACATGGTGAGGATTTCACTTGAGTTGATGCCAAAACAGACAAAAACAAACATAAAGATCAATCTTCTCAATGGCACCAACTGGCAAGATTGCATGATTTGGGATAGGGCAAGCATTCAAAAGGCAGACAAGGGCAATTTTATTTACATTCTTTAGCAGATAGGAATCCAATTCACCAGGATTCCTGTGATAAGCGATGGATCTACTCACAGTGACGTTTCTTCAAAATAAATATTTACAATTTTGGCGCAGTTTGCAAAATCCTTGTGACAAATGGAGCATTCATAATTCTATTGCCTTTCAGGCCCTGTCCAGGCACAATTCCTCACCGTTACCAGATGGAAGGGCAGATCAGAATGTACCTCTTCGAAAGACTCTGACATTATCACAGCCTCCAGCCAGATCCAGCGGCAGTTTTGGAAAGAATCTTTGTCCATTCCCACCCAGTCACCACAGTGACCCTTTGTCACCTCTATATGCTGAACCTTTCACAGCTGCCAAGAAGCAGTTAGTCGCATCGTCTGCTGCAGGCGTAAGTACATTTCAAATGCACACATATTTCTCGTCAGAGAAACGGAGAATGCTGTAAAGGCTCAGCAGGCCAGGCAGCATCTGTGGGAGAGGAAAAATTGCAGGGTTCACATTTCAGGGCAGGATTTTGATGAATGATCGTTGAGCTGAAAGATTGGGCTGAATTTTACTTGGGGTGGAGGTGGAGGAGGGGGGGAACAAGAATGTATTGCTTTCCCTCTTAACACCCCCTCACTCCTTACCAAACCCCACAGCCTGCACTATGCTCCCTGCCAGTCGCACTCTTGTAGAGTTGGCACCTGGATGAACACATCTCCACAAAGAGGTGTCATGGACACCAGAAAAAGTGCTTCCACAGCTTTTTTGGAAGGGGAAGGACCAGCATGCTTAGGGGTGGGTAAAAGTGGTGAGGAAAATGGGGTTTTTGTAGACCCGGTGAGGAGATAACCTACCTCCTGTCAATTTTGTTGAAAATACAGCCTTCGATGTTTTGTCCACCTTCCGTTATATTATATGCACACACATTAACACCTTCTCAACCTCACCCCTCGCCTGAGGTGAGCTTAAACTCAGCACCAGTCATCCCTCTCTAATGAGAGAGCAGCCCAAGGGTCCCATGACGGATAGAACACACACGTTCACACACAGATATACACATATACTTAGGGAATGCTGGAGAAGCTCAGCAGGTCTGGCAGCATCTGTGGAGAGAGAAACAGGGTAAATGTTTCGAGAACTCTGAAGAGGAATCATGCCAGATTCAAAAAGTTAACTCTGTTTCTCTCTCTCCACAGATGCTGCCACACCTGCTGAGTTTCTCCAGCATTCTCCCTGTGCTGGCTTCAGATTTCCAGTATCCATAGTATGTTATATTGGGGCAGCACGGTGGCTCAGTGGTTAGCACTGCTGCCTCACAGTGCCAGGGTTCGATTCAACCCTCAGATGACTGTCTATGCGGAATTTGCATATTCTCCCAGCACCTGGGGGAGGTTTCTTCTGGGTGCTCCGGTTTCCTCCCACAGACCAAATAGAATCCCTACAAAGTGGAAACAGGCCCTTCAGCCCAACAAGTCCACACTGACCCTCAGAGCATCCCATCCAGACCCATCCCCTTGGAAGTGCACCTAATCTACACATCCCTGAACACTACAGGCAATTTCCCATGGCCAATCCACCTAGCCTGCACATTTTTGGACTGTGGGAGGAAACTGGAGCACCCGGAGGAAACCCACGCAGACACGGGGAGAATGTGCAAACTCCACACAGACAGTCACCCGAGGCTGGAATCGAACCTGGCGCTGTGAGGCTGCAGTGCTAAACACTGAGCCACCGTGCCGCCCCAAATATGTGCAGGTTAGGTGCCAAAAGTGTCTAGGGATGTGCAGGCTACGTGAATTAGCCATGGGAAATGCAGGGATAGGGTGGGGTCTGGGAGGAATGCTCTTCATGGGGTTGATGTGGACTTGATGGGCCGAATGGCCTGCTGCCACACTGTAGGGATTCAGTACACATATATGCATGTACTGATACAGTCATAGATACCAACATGTGCACCATGAATAGGAGTAGGGCACTCAGTCCCTCGATAACATTCTAATTGTGGTCCTTAACAGCCACTCAACTGGGCAATAGTCAGCCTAAGGGTGGGTGGCCTAGTGGGTGTTTTACCCTTTCACCGTACTCAGGGGTGGTGGCAGGTGCAAACTGAACTGAGTTTATGTGCTCCCCGTGACCCGATCCTGCCTCCACGACAGCACGCCCGGAGTATACCTGTAAGAGAACTGTCAGAATTCCTCCCTGATTGTTTCTCCCCATTGATCCACTGATGCCACCAGACGTGCTGAGCATTTGCAATATTTTCTGTCTTTATTACAGAGTTCCAGCACTCACAGTCTTTTGTTTTATTGTAGTTTATTTTAATTGTTTGTTCTGGGCATTATAGGACAAACAAAGATAAGTGGCAACCTTTGCAAGCTTTGACGAGAGCGGAGAGCAGATTATTGATTTTCTGTCACTTTCCGTGCCTGCTTTCCCACCCTCCCTCCCTCTGAATGGACCAACACCCTCTTCCAGTGTTGCCAGCTCTACTTGGATGTATTTCTGTAGTTTCATCACATAATGTTTCAACTCCAACTGACAAAACTCAGTCAAAGTACTTTTTCTGGTAATCTTTATAACCATTAAATGGAAGTATTCCAAAAAGAGTTCACAATTTAAAGAAACTTGCCTGAGTATTCAGGAGATTGGTTGATTAATTTTTAAATCCTAAATCCTGAATCCTGTGAAGCAATCACAGATGCTTAACAAACCTGTCACTGCGATGGGTGACGCTGCAGGCTGAGAGAAAGTCACCCCATGTGAAGTTGCTCCTGCACTTGAGACACCCACACACACACAGACGGACTTACACGGACTCAGACACAGACTCGCGCACAGATACACACACAAGTATACAGCCAGACACAGACTTGCACACAAATATATACACACTCGCACATACACACACACATGCCCAGACAGAGGCACACAGATACACAAATACAGACCTGCATGCACAGATACACACATGCACAGATCATACACACTCTCACACACACACACACACACGCGCGCACATACACACACACACACACATCGACTCACACGTCACATGTACAGGCACAAATGGACAGATAAATACACACTGGCATGCACAACACAGGCGCACATATACACAGGGGCAAACATACGCACATAAACTTGAGTGTACAGACACACACAAAGACAGAGAGGCACACACAGATTTTGGAGCATCCTGCTTTAGTTAGATTTATTCTTGAAAAGGAAACACTTGCAGGATTATGTCCAGGGGAGTGGGACTATGTGGATTCCTTTTCAAAGTGCCAGCAAAGGCACATTTTACTGACTGGTCTTGTCGCAGACAAGGGAGAGAAATAAATTGAATTATTTTCAGTGTTTTCCTCTTCGCTCTGAAACAGTTGTGATTTATTAAAAAAGGTTCTAAATTTTTCTTCCCTTTTAAAAGTAGGCAGTAACGTGTTTCTCCCAAACCCTGTCTGTGAAATCCAATTAAACGTGACCCACTGCAAATTCTTAAGGGTTGAAACAAGATAGGGTTTATTGCTACGTTCAAAACATAGGGAATGGTTCGTCTGTCTCGTTCACAAAAACAGACATCCAAGAAATAAACTTACAAATTACTTAAAATCAAAGTTATCAGAATTAGTTAACATGAATTAGACGTTCTAATACGTCACTCTCCAGGAAAAGTTATTTTAATTGGCTGTGTCCTTTTCACATGAGAACCAATGCAATTGGATTGCAATTGAAAGTTCAGCAGCTGTATGTGAGGACTTCACAGGTAAAATCCAGGATTCTTTGCAAAAAATCCGACTTTTGAGAGAGATAGAGATCAGAGGCAGGTATTAGCTAGGCCTGGAGCTGCCTACTCTTCTGGTGTTACAAGCAAACTCTGAAAATTATTCAAAAACTGTATAATTAAAGGCAATTCAAACAAACAAATTCAGAAAGAGTCGTGTGAGTGAGCCTTCAGCTTGGCCATTCAGCTAATGAGCTGGTTTTTGTTTTCTCTGTCAAAGCCCATTTAGTGTTTTGGAGCAGATAGCTATGGAGCCTGTCTAGCACCAAATCAAGCAATAATGAATTTGAATTGCCTCAGTTGTTAGAAACTGGCTGAGGTAGACATCTGGTCTTCTAATACTTTGTGCTGACTTGGTAAGAATAGTTATAGAAAGCAAGGTGTGTCACAATTCAGGAGATGATTCATTCGCTTTTGTCCTGGTAATTGCAGGAAATTTCTAGGAGTAGTCAATGTAACCATTTTGTGTTCATTTTAAAATCCAGCAAGAATCCATTTTTTGAAAAGAAAAGAATTTAAACTAAATAATATAGTTTAATTTAAAAAGCTTTCTCTTCCTGCACTTTGAGTGTCGAGGCTGCCTGTGCTGTATCTTTCTCTGAGATTATCATTAGGTATAACAATAAGGTCCTACACTATCACTATCTCTTCTATTGTGTTGCACTAAGATAACATTTATTTACAATCAAATGACTTAACTTTAGAATTATGCTGTTTGTTTTCAACTTGAGCGCACAGTTCAAATGTACACATTGTGGCTCTGTTACTGGACCACTAACCCAGCGATGTGAGTTATAAACCCTCTACAGCAAAGAGGAAATTTAAGGAGTAGAACAGTGGTTCAGTGGTTAGCACTGCTGCCTCATGGTGCTAGGGACCCGGATTCGATTCCACCCTCGGGCGACTGTCTGTGTGAAGTTTACATGTTCTTCCCATGTCTGTATGGGTTTCCTCTCACAGTCCAAAGATGTGCAGGCTAGGTGGATTGGCCATGCTTAATTGTCCATAGCATCCCAGGATGTGCAGGCGAGGTTGATTGGCCATGGGATATGCAGGGATAGGGTAAATGGGAGAGTCTGGGTGGGATGCTCTTCTGAGGATTAGTGTGGACTCAATGGGTTGAATAGCCTGTTTCCACAATGTAGGGATTATAAGATAAGTTTGATTAATTACTAAGTTTGGAATAGAAAAGCAGCATCAGTAATGGTGACCAGGAAGGTCTCCTCTGGCACACTTTAGGGAAGGAAGTCTGCCATCCTTACCTGATCTGACCTACATGTGACTCCAGACCCACAGCAATGTGGTTTATACAACTGCCTTCTGAAATAGCAAAGCAAATTACTCAGTTCAAGGCCAGTTGAGGAATAGGCAACAAATGCTGGTTCCATCAGCTGACACCTACATCCTGTGGATAAATGAAAAGGAGATAACATGCCAGAAAAGATAAGATTCCTGCTCAGCAATAAAACTCAGGAATAATTATCAGCCATGGTCAAAGAATGGCAGGAAGTGGTTTCTTTACAAGCAAATGTTCCAAGGTGTTGATGCAATACAAGTACAACTATTGTGGTCCATGCTATACTTAACAGGTGCGTCAGTGTAACGTAATGTTCCTCGCAATCTTTCATCTGAGAAAAAATGCCATTATAAACAATGTGTCACCAGAACATTAACCTGATGATGCATTTGTGGGTAAATAAGTAACAATAGAAAACTGGGTACCTGTGTGAACCTGGAGAACTTCCAAAAGTTCAGGATGCATCTGTAATCTGACCTGAATTCCTTTCAATATGATGATAATCCCTTCTGCATGCTCACTGACCAAGTCATCCCAGTTCCAAGCAAAGGCTGAAACAGTTCAAAGCTCAGTGCAATGCAGAGGCAGTAAGGGCAAAATATTGCAGATGCTGGAAAGCTGAGACAAACTCAGAGAAGCAGTCATACCAGATTTGAAATGTTAACTCTATTTCTATCTTCACAGATGCTGCCAGACCTGCTGAGTTTCTCCAGCGATCTCCATGTTTATGACATGTCAGTAACTGTCATCTAGAAAGATCGCAGAATGGAAGAGAGAATTGGCATTTATGTAGCACCTTGCTTGGACCTTGGGAAGTCCCAAAATTCTTTGCAGCCAATGAAGCACTCTAAAATACAGCTATTGCTTGATGCAGGAGCTAAATAGCACACAACAAACAGCAATATGATGGTCTGTTTGTGATATAGGGATCAGGAAATCGCAACTTGGTTCAGGAGGACTTAGGTACACTGTTGAGACAGAATAGAAGAAGGTTACATCTAGATATTTTTCTGATCACCCTCTTCATAGATGCTATTACTTACTTCTGGGGTGAGTGAGACTTGAAGCCGGGCCTCCTGGTCCAGAGGTCAGGATGCTACCACTGCATTACTAGAGCCCTTAACAACACGTCCAAAGATGTGCAGGTTAGGTGGATTGGCCATGCTAAATTACCTGTAGTGTCCAGGGATGTACAGGTTAGCCATGGGAAATGCAGGTATACAGAGGTAGGTTAGGTTGTGGCTCTGGGTGGGGATGGAGGGTTGATGTGGACTTGTTGGGCCAAATGGCCTGCTCCTACACTGTAGGGATTCAATGATTCTATGTCCAAACTTGCTGTGGCAGTGTATGGTCCTAACCACCTGAAATTGGATGTCTCATTCCTAAGAGTTTGTCTCCTCTGAAGAAACTTGTAAACACCAAACTAAAAGTCATTCAAAGACAAATGAAAATCTTTGTTTATATTTTGTACAGCCTGTCAGGAAACAGAGTGGTGCATTGGCAAGAGACCAGTGGAGTAACACGCATCAGTTGGCACTAGAGTCTGTACCCCGCTCTTCCTTGCCATCATGTTCCATGTCTGGGAGCAGTACTTGTTCATTCGTGGATGAAACTCCCTTGACTGACCCTCTATCTCCACCATATGCAGAACCATATCATTCACAGCCAATGTCTCATGCTGACCATTTCTGGATGAGAGAGGTATGTTTTGTTATGACTGGGGCTATAGCGTTGGGAACAAACAGGGACAACATTTCAAATAAATGTCCCTCAACCTACAGTGCGCTAAAGAGTGGATTTTTTGTTTGCACTTGGAGGGACCTGGGAGGGGACCGAGTTGGCTATTATGTACAAGTGGCAAACCCTCCAATTTTGCTGGCCTTTAGTTCTTATTTTTATTTTTCAGTCATCCTGTTCAGAGGTGTTATCGCACACCTCTAGAGCATTTAAGATTTGAGCAAAGGCCTCCTGGTCCTGAGGTAGAGACATCATCACCGTGCTACAAAAACCCTATTATTTGCTGTGATACCTGGATTAACCTGGGACAGTGAAAGAGAGAACTGGTCTGCACAAGTCATACAAAGATCTTAAATCTCTGTCTGAAGAACTGACCGATGCTAACTAACATTGTTTGCTTGAAATTCAATGGTTTCTCTGCACGTGTGTCTCAAATATAAATCAACATCTATTAACAGCCCACACCCTAAAGTTTAATAATAAAGTTGTTAAGAAATTGTTTAACTGCGATCATTGACAAAGATATGTGAATGAATCTACATAAGTACAGTTTACACTCCAGATATCATTTCAGTCTTAAAGGCTAACGTAGTCCTTCAATTATTATTCCTTTATATATAGTTGCAACTCCTGATTGAAGAATAATTGAAATAAATTCTAGCAGATGCAATGCTAAGGATTTAGGAACAGAAGTGAGAGAATTATGGCTGATCTCTCCCTCAAATTGTAGTCCATTGTAGACCTTTGGGGGTGTTTTGTCTATTTCCTTCTAAGTGTTGGGGCAAGCGTGTTAGGTGCGAACTAACATGTCTACCTCCAACTGGATAACTCAGCCTACTGCCTGCTTTATCTGCTCAATAAGAGCTGACAGGTGAGCTACATCCCGCTGTCACAGCCCTTGTTACTGCCAACCAGCAGCCTCTGGGTCCTAAAGTTCTCCGACTGAAGCCTGCTCCTCAGTGGATCCAGCGATGAGAAAGTGAGTTGTTTTATTCTCCTTCTCATGTCACGCGGAGAGGTGTGTGTCAGACAGATGCAAGAGTAGAGGGTTGGCTTTCAAAGGCCACCATCTAATTGCTCCAAGATTAGGACCCCCACACATCAACCCGCACCCCCTCATGCAGCTATCCATGGGTCCCAATCAGGAAACTAGCCATCCCATCTTGCCCAGTGGGGAGGCAGGTGATCAGAAAGAGTGGGTGAGTTGAGGCCCTCAAATGACTATTAATTGACCACTTAAGGACCTTAATAGTTGGTGAGCTGAGAAAGTTCCTCCTGGACCTTTGCACCTCACACTCAATCACTGACGTGGTGAGAAAGGGATGCAGGACCAACCTCACTGCACTATTTCCCCTTCCTGTCACTTCAGCCGAGTGGAGGATCATAGAGGCCCCAGGGTGTTAATAAATATCATTTTTTAATTCTAGCTCTCAAAGAGAGAATTCAGTCAAATATATTCATTACTCAAAGTGCTATTGTATTCAACACGTACAATATTTCCATTCTCAACCATCCCTCCTTTTTTGCAGGAAGTATCGCGGAGAGGAAGTGCTGATTTTCCTGTCCATTGTTCAAAAGGTACATGATCCCATTTTAAAACAAAATAAATAGTTTTACCCCCTCTCCCCGACCAAGGGAATGACCATAGCTCCGATTGGATGGCGAACTTCAGACCCTTAGCTACTTGGCCACTGTCCAATCAGCCAAAAGCTTTCAGGTGCCAGGCATTGGAGCTACATCCATTTGAGTGGAGTTCCTTATTAGTCAGGCACTCTGCCCATGTCCAAGAGACTGGACTGGAGAGATGGCCATGTCATGGTAATGTCACTGGACCAGAACCCACCGCTGCTCTGAGGACTTGGGTTCAAACCCCACCAGGGCAGATGGTGGAATTCAAACTCAATTAATCCAGGATTAGAAACTAGTCTTAGTGATGGTGATCATAAAGTGATCATTCATTACCACAAGAAAGCCCCATCCACAAGAAAATCCTATCTGGTTTACTTAATGCCCCTCATGGAAGGAACATGCCGTCGTTACTTGGCATGGCCTGCATGTGACACTGGGGCGGCACAATGCCTCAATAATTAGCACTGCTGCTTCATAGCACCAGGGACCCAGGTTCAATTCCAGCCTCGGGCGACTGTCTGTGTGGAGTTTGCACATTCTCCCCAGTCATGAACAAAGAGGGCTTTTATAACTATCTGGTAATTTCACAATCACTATCAATGAAATTAGCATGAAGCAGGTTTTAATTCCCACTGCTGCTGCCTTGAACTCATATTTCCCAAGCAAGATTGTAGCTCCTGGATTCCTAGTTTAGGAATATTATTGATAAACTATCTTTCTTCAGAGGCTGACACTGTGCTGAGGGGGTGCTGCTCTGGATCCAGTTGTAAACTTAGGCTCCTAATCGCCTGTCCAGGGGATGCAAAAGATTCTTCCCATTTCTCAAAGAGGGACAAAGAACTCACCTCAACAAACACTGCCAAAAACAGGAGACGGGGGTTACTTTAGAAGAGGCTTCGCAGTGGGGTTAAAACTGACTCAGAGACAGTAGGAACTGCTGATGCTGGAGAATCTGAGATAACAAGGTGTAGAGCTGGATGAACACAGCAGGCCAAGCAGCATCATAGGAGCAGGAAGGCTGACGTTTCGGGCCTAGACCCTTCTTCAGAAATGGGGGAGGGGAAGGGGACTCTGAAATAAATAGAGAGAGGGGGAGGCGATGATAGAAGGTGGATAGTAGACCAGATAGGTGGAGAGAAGACGAACAGGTCAAGGAGGCGGGGATGGAGCCAGTAAAGGTGACTGTGGGTGTGGAGTTGGGATGGGGGTTGGTCAGTGAGGAGGGAGGGGTGGGTAGGTGGGAGGGAAGACGGACAGGTCAAGGAGGTGGGGATAAGACTAGTAGGTAGGAAGTGGGGGTCAGGATTGGTCAGTGAGGTGGGAGGAGCGGATAGATGGGAGAAAAGACGGACAGGTCAAGGAGGTGGGGATGAGATGGGCTGGTCTTGGGATGAGGTCGGGGGTGGGGAGACTTTGAAGCTTGTGAAGTCCACATTGAGACCATTAGGCTGCAGGGTTCCCAGGCGGAGTATGAGGTGCTGTTCCTCCAGCCTTCGGGTGGCATCGTTGTGACACTGGAGGAGGCCCAGGATGGACATGTCGTCCAAGGAGTGGGAGGGGGAGTTGAAGTGGTTCGCAACTGGGAGGTGTTGTCGTTTGTCATGAACCAAGTATAGGTGCTCCACAAAGCGGCCTCCGAGCCTCCACTTGGTTTCCCTGACATAGAGGAAGCCACATCGGGAACAGCGGAGGTGACTTCTTGTGTTCTCTGTGATTGGTCGGACTCCCTGTTAACCCATAAACAGCATTTCCAAAATTAACTGATTGCTGGAAGACCTTGAGAGATGATAGATGTCCTCGTCTGCGAGGGACCGCCAGTGATGACGACAATTTTGTTGCCAGTTTGTAGATGTACTGGGGAGGGTGGTTGTGAGCTGCCTTCTTGAACTGCTGCAATCTATGTGCTGTAGATTGTGCTAGAGCCACAATGACATTAAGTTGGGAATTCCAGGATTTTGACTCAGCTGCTGTGAAGGAACGGCAATATATTTCCAAGTCAGGATGGTGAATGGCTTGGAGGGGAACTTGCAGGGGGTGGTGTTCCCAAGTATCTGCTGCCCTGATCCTTCGAGATGGTAGTGACCTTGGGTTTGGAAGGTGCCACTGTGAATTGAGCTGAATCCCAAACTGCAATGCATTGTCATGGCTATCATGAGTGTTGCATCACTCAACCTCCAGAGAAGGAGACAGGAAAACAATTTGGTTTCGAAAAATTAGTTTACGATGCATCACAGAACGGATCCTTGGGAATGATTTCCTTGTTTATTGGCTGTCGTGTGATCAACATTGCAAGAAATTTTATGCCGCTTCCTTGTTTATTGGCTGTAGTGTGATCAACATTGCTAGAAATTTTATGCTGCCTGCTATCGATTGTCCCAAATAAAAAGGTTTTGAAATTGGGCATCAGCACGCCTTTGGAAACAAGTGAAGGTTCTATTGCTATCTACTATGATGCAGTATATTCCACTGCAGTATACAGAGAGGGATTGTGTGTAAAGGAGCTCAATTATATTTCTATCTGAAATCAAACAATTTCTACTCTGTCATCATGAATTCCTTCCCCATCTCACCCACCATCCCTCATCCTTGTGGGAGTCACACAATGAATAATCAAAAGGTGCATGTTTTGTAAGTTGAATTTCAAAACCTCAGCATTTTTGGCTAATGCAGACACCACAGAACTGAATACCTTATAGTGCCGTCATTTCATCGACACTAGGAGTTGGAGCTTCCACAGGCGAATGGAAGTCAATCAAATTATATTGCACCATTATTCCCAAGTGGCATTATTCCAGCTCACTTTTCCTGATAATGTTTGGTTAAAGACTTCATCCTGATTGTTGAAGCTTTTGACTTTGTGAATCATATGCAGCAATTCGTTAGCAGGCATTAAGATGACTTCAGCCTTCACATTGCTGTTCATAAACGTTCAATCCAATTTGTTGATATATCGGCAAGATCTTGTTTGTCTGGTTTTAGGAGTTCTGCGGAGTTCAGGAGTAATGCCATGAACAGCCCTTGCTGAACCTCCAGACTCGTAAACCTCAAATAGGATGATTCGAGATGAAAGAAATACAAGCATGAATAGAAATAGTAAGAAATGCCGATGCTGGAGTCAGAGATAACACAGTCTGGAGCTGGAGGAACACAGTAGGCCAGGCAGCATCAGAGGAGCAGGAAAACTGACGTTTCGGGTTAAGACCTGTCTTCAGAAAATGCATGAATAGATCTTTCTGTGGATGTTGGTGGAGAGTTTGAGTTTTGAAACCAAAGGCTCGTTGAACTTGTTTAACTATTTCAATGCTGAACTCAAGCTGAAATGCAGTTCTCCCAAAGCAAAATACTACAGATGCTAGAAGTTAGAGGGTTTGCTTAAAATAGTCGACATTCTGAGAAAGACAGAGTTAGAATTTGAAACCTTTCATGAGAATTGGGAATAGCTAAGGGCATAATAAGTTGTAAGCAAGTGTGAAGAGAAGGTTGTGAACAGGAAGGGATTAGTAGAAAAGTAGGAGAGAATAGATGTTTATGATCCTGCCATTCACACCTCCTCTGTTCGTGTCTTGTGTTTCTTTATTTGCAGTTCTGTCATATTTACCATGCTCTTTGGCTTCGCACCATCTATCCTTCTATCATTTAAACTCTCCCGCCTAAACAAAGATTAGCAGGTTAGAAAAATCTGGATGCTGTGATTTATGGAGAATGATACAGAAACCGTTTGTTCATTATTATGAGCAAGAGAACAAAAATTGACACATGATATCAGAATACAAAGAGTTAAAGCTGCAACTTTTTAAAATTTTAGCCCTTCAAACTCAGGATAAAATACATTTAGCATGTTTTTTTTTTCTCTCCTTTTTTCAGATGCCTCCTCTGAATATTACGCAATTATACAACTTTTAGACAGCTACCAAGAAGGTGATTTTGTACTCTATATTATCTTATAGTCAATATGTCTACATGGAAAGTCTCCTTTCATCCTATTGTCCAAGGTTTATTGAGCAAAAGGCCCCAGTCTAATGCTCAGCCTGTAGTCAGTTACCTGTCCCAGCTTGAAGTGACCTTCCAATGGGTACAGTGCCCCCGGTTTGAGGAGAGAAAATCCAGCAGTTCCGTGTTTCCATCATGGAGCTCTGGTCAGATGAATTGGGAAATAATGTTTGAGCCTTAGTTCTGACAGGCACCGCTGCAGAAAATAATGTTCCTACTGGAAAAGGCAACTGAGGGCTGAGCAGGTGGGTGACAAGAATAGTGAAGCTGCCTCTTTTGGAAGTAGGTTAGATTGGGATTGGCAATATTGCCTAACTTGTCAAATGATCTGCCTATAATTACAGCCCGTGCTGAAACACAAAGAGTTGTTTCTTCATTTGGCTGAAACTGGTAGAATGAACTATGAGCAGATAGATATTCAGGTGTGGCTGGGAAATGGACAAGACATTAGACAAAATTCTCTTCAGATCTGATTCAAAATTGAATTGTCGCAGTGTTCAGTGCATCAGGCCCAAACCACAGTACAAAGGTGAAGGTAATATTTGATGGGATGCCAATCTTTGTCATCGTGTGAACCCACATCTCTTGAATCTTAATTGCACAAAACTAGGGTTATATTTCCTTGAATTCAAGAAAATATAACCCCAGTTTTGTGCAATTAAGAATTCAAGAAAATATAGGGGATGATTTGATCAAACCTTTCAAGATAGAGGAGATCAAGAAACTATTTCTCCTGGTTGGGGAATCCAGGACTAAGGGGCAAGTCTAAAAATTTGAGCTGACCCTTCGGGTGTGAACATAGGAAAAACTTCTACTCAGAAAGGCAGTTTGGCACTCTGTTCAGCAAATGATAGGCAATGCTGGGTCATTTGTTAATTTTAAAATGGAGGTTGTTGGTTTCCTGTTAATTGAAGGCATTAAGCTGTGTGTGAAGCAAAGATGGCCCAGATCAGTTGTGGTCTCAATAGACAGTGAGCAGCTAAATTGACCTCCTCCTGTTCCTAATTTCCATCTGATGTTTCATCAGATTGCTGGAACTTTTCAATTACATTATTAGCCCTGCTTTGCAAAGTCTTCAAATGATTCTAATAGGGCATTAAGCATTTGGAAAAATGCAGTTTTTCAACAATAACAAGTAAATCTGCTGGATCAGACCAAAACCACCACCAAAGAAGAATAAGCCCTTATCATTGGGAAAAACATAGGCTCTTGCCATCAGACAGTTGTAGTGGGTGGTTTAATGTGCACTAGGTCTGATTGGCAGTCAGCAGTGACAGGGATGAGCTGAGCTTTGTAGCTCTAAGAATAGTCTCAGACCTTATGGTTTCCCCTCTGCTATCAGATTGCGCAGAGTTGAAGAGTTTATGCAGAATTCATTTTGCTAGGAGTGATTTCAAACAGGTTAACACCCTGTCTGAAAATGTCAAACATCCGCACACTAATAGTTGCAGAGTGTAATTAGGGCCTTTGCTTTTCTCGTAATGGTGTACTTGGTTTTATACTGAGTCCTGCAGGGTTTGTGTAACTGTGCCCATCATTGTATTTACAAAAAATAAAAAATAGCAGGACCTATTGAGGTCTAGACTTGGAGAGATAGGTGTTTTGACTTCTCTGAATGGAGCAAAACTTAACAAAACAGGTGTGAACCGACATAATTCGTATCAACCTTGGAATTTGATGAAGCATATTCATGTTTCCATTGTATCATTCAACTATTTTATCAATTTTAGTTACGCTAAGATGTGCAGCAGGGTACCAGTAATTGGTTTGGCCTGACTTGTACTCATTGGGGTATATTTAACTCATTGGGGTACATATAAGATCCTAATTTCCCAGCAGGAAAACAATGGGACAATAACATGAGAGTTCGTCAGGACGGACGAAGGATTTCAGCCCAAAATGTTGACTTTCCTGCTCGTCGGATGCTGTCTGACCTGCTGTGCTTTTCCAGCTTCACATCTATAGACTCTAGCTTCCAGCATCTGCAATCCTTCTTGTCTCCAAGCCCCATTTCTGAACACTGCTACCCCTTTTCCCCACTGAAAATGGGATCAGCGAATTTATCTAATTGCTTCATTTTTGCTTCCTGATTGAACTAATTAGCTTCTACACTAATGCTGTGCTTAAAATTTGTTAATATCTATTTAACATTAACTAGAGTGGAGAACACAGTATTTATAAAGAAGAGGATTTTGTGCCCTGATTCCTTCAGTCACTTAGTGGGAAAAGGCACCTGCTGGTGTTGTACTGAAATCTATAAGTTAGCAAACTCAATGTTCAAATTATCACTGCGAAGGAAGGATAAGGAAAATGTGACACTTACCCACCATGATTCTTTGGCATTGGGTTATGTCTCTCATATTCCACTTAATCCAGGCCGTTTTCCCTAACTCTTCAGATGAGGCTGTGTGTCTACTTCAATAGCCAGATCACACTAAGTTGCGTTATTGGCCTTGACAGATCAGAGTTTTGAATGAGGAAGACCATCAGAATATCACAAATGAGAGCAGGAGCAGGCCACATAGTCCTTTGAACATTGCAACACCATTCAATAAGATCAGGGCCAGTTTCCTACCTTACTCCCAATTTCACCCACCACATATTTCTTGATTTCCTGAGTAGCATCACTCATCTGCAAGATTCTTCTCATAGAATCCCTGCAGTGTGGAATCAGGCCCTTCAGCCCAACAAGTCCACACTGACCCTCAGAGCATCCCACCCAGACCCATCCCTATACTCCACCTAATCTACACTGCAGGTAATTTAGCATGGCCAGTCCACCTAGCCTGCACATCTTTGGACTGTGGGAGGAAACCGGAATGCCCGGAGGAAACCCACGCAGACACAGGGAGAATGTGCAAACTCCACACAGCCAGTTGCCCGAGGGTGGAATCGAACCCAGGTCCCTGGCGCTGTGAGGCAGAAATGCTAACCACTGAGTCACCGTGCCACTTATGAGTGCTCAAATGAGAAAGGCTCCCAATCTAATGTTTTACCCAGTGACCCCTGTTAGAAGGCACATCTTATCTTCGATGTCACCTTATTGACCCAACCTCATCTTGACATGTGAAGAACGTGCATTTAGCGGAACAACTGGTGGTGTGTTGTCTTTGCTGGACCCAAGGGTCAATGTAAATTCAGCCTAGGATGCTTCAATCTGTCCCAGAGTAAAGACTGAAAATTGCCCACGGTGTCTTCCCGAAGGAAGGAAAGCAAAATGTGAAAACGTATTCTCCTCAAGAAAGCAAAAATGAAGCACTGAGTGTAAGGGATGTGGGTGGGGTTGGGGTCTTTCTGATTGGCTCACTACCAGTGGCATTGCCACTTCCAGAGATGTTCATTCCTGCCCAATGCCAACAAAGAAAGACAGAAAACTATTTAATCAGATTAGAGTACAGTGATACAAATAAAAGTTAAACCCTGCTTCACAATGAATCTGTGAAAGTATTTCTGTGAAAAGGAATGTATAGCGATTGTAACTGTTTGAGGAGTTTAACTCTGTGATCTCCACCTCTGCAGGCAAGAACATAAGTTGGTACAGTGACAACACCAGAATGTCTTTAACATCGTCTGAACACACCTATGCAGAACTTGAAAGCCTCCAAGATGAATCTGATTATGAGTTTTGGGATTTTGACTTCAAGCAACAAGAAATCCCACATCTTTCTGCCCAGACCCTCATGAAGCTACGACAGCGGGGGATAGTTGATTCAAGACTGCAGGGACGGTTGCACAGATGGTCGTGAACACCTTCTGAGATCTTGTGCTTTGCCATATTTTGGGAATACTGTCCTGTTTTAATAGTGGATGTAATGCAGCAGACTGGATTGTGGTTTACTGCCTTATATTGAGTTCTAATGTCAAAGCTGAGACTTCAAGGAGAAGTTCAAAGAGTCTTTGAAGCATTTCCTTGTCCTGCAGAAATGGGTCATTTAAAAGGTGGGATGCAGGGCCTAGTCAAGACATCCAGTCACTGTTACCAGTCCATCACACCTTCAATACACTGTACCCAGTGTTCACTTGAGCTTTGCTGTCTTCGATTCCAGACTGCGTACAGCTCAAAACAGTTGCAATACCTGTGAAATAATACATGATATGAGCTGGTCTCATATCATCACCTTATGTTTCAATTATATTAATTTTGTCATAAGCTCATATTTTTAATATTTTCATTTGCTTTGTGAATTCTGTTTGCTAACTGCAGCATATGTATAAAAGGATGCTGAGATTATCCTAACTGACTAAACATTAATAATTTGTCTGAAGTTGCGTGTTTGTAACAAACTCTGTACAGTAATTATGTCGTTTTTGTTTAGAATGTTGAACCATTTAAATGAAGCTTCCTTGATATTTCTGTGTTGGTTCTCATTTTTCTGAATCAAGTTGACAGCAGGGAATAAATATCTGGCTAATTTTGCCTGATGCAAAGTGTCAGAGATTCTGCATCATTACAGCCCCCAAAGCCCCAGCCCTGACATTGTCAGCGAGGTTTTGAGTGAATAGAGGTTACTTGGAGAAATTACCAAGGTGTTATACTTTGTAATATAAACCAAGCCATTCAGCTCACCTAAATTGTTGTATGAATTGGAGATTTCTGTGTCATAGGGTCCTTAAAGTGCAGAACCAGGCCATTCAGCACATACCAACCCTCCACAGAGCATCCCATCTCTGTAACTCCACATTTCCCATTGCTAATCCACCTAGCCTGTACACAATGGACAATTTAGCATCACCAAATCACCTAACCTGCACATCTTTGGATTGTGGGAGGAAACCAGAGAAGACCCACACAGACAGGGGGAGAATATGCAAACTCCAGACAGACAGTCACCCAACGGTGGAATTGAACCCATATCCCTGGTGCTGTGAAGCTGCAGTGCTAACCACTGAGCCACCGTGCTGCCCAATACCTGTTGTATTCAGCAAAGGTTGTAGATTTTCAATCCTTCATGGCTTGTCAGTATCTCCGGCTGGGCTAATGTTTGTTGTCCAATCCTAATGGCCCCTGAGAAGGTGTGGTGAGCTACCTTCTTGAACTACTGTGGTCTATGTGATGCAGTGCACCTATAGTACTTGTTGTGAGCTGACAGGCCAATAGTTTAGCTTGTAGTGTTAACACAGTGTGGAGCTGGAGGAGCACAGCAGGTCAGGCAGCATCAGAGGAGCAGGAAAGTTGACGTTTCAGGTTTCTGAAGATTTTCCGAAATGTCAACTTTCCTGCTCCTCTGATGCTGCCTGGCCTGCTGTGTTCCTCCAGCTCCACACTGTGTTATCTCTGACTCCAGCATCGGCAGTTCTTACTATTTCTATAGCTTGTAGTGTGTCTTCATTGAACCGACTGTAAAACATACAAATTTGTATGCTCTATCATTTACACTGTGATTTACTCAAATTACCCATTATGCAAATAACTGCTCCTATGCATTAGGAAAACTGTCTGTAATTCCACTTACTCCCTCTTCTGTCAGTCTCTTTACATGCATGGCACACGTGGGCAAAATCAACATTTCTTTCAATACCTGCTGGTTGAGATGATGTTCTGTCTGATTCTGTTCTAAAATCTTCTGAGTTGACCTTTCCAATTTAGGTCAATGCTTTAGACATTTCTTTTTGCAATCTTGTCATTGCACTAGGCTCTCAAGCTGATTCGCTCCCTTGGATTGAGCATTGCGCTCTCACAGAGACTCAACATCACCTTCCTCCAAATTAAACTGCCACTTTCACCTTGCTATCCATTCCAAAGAACTTCATGTCAACTTGAAAATGGCAACAACTATACCAGGGCAACACAAGCTGAGCAGATACTAGAAGATACGTGTTCTCTGTGTGTACCACCACAATGGATTTCTTTCCATAATTGAAGTGATTCAGCAAAATACTGCATGAGGTAGAGACAAGGTAAATATTACTGAGCTATAGGAAACGAGGGAGTCAATATGAGTCAAAAGAACTAGCAGACGACCATTTGTTTAAATGGATTTCTCCTGTTATATTAGACTCCACAATGCTGTAAAAATATTTCAGGCAGTTCCCTTAATCACAGGCACAGCCATGTCCGAAAAGAAAAGGCCAACTTTGTTGTCAATTGCTCTCACATTAGTTCAGTCAAATAATAGTGTTGAGTTTGGCCCTTTACATCATTGAGTCAAATGGTAAATAACACTGATCTCAATATTGCTCATTGAAGAACATGGGTTCACACGTTCCACCAATCTGAATAATTGTTCTTAAACCCTATTCTCTGCTTTCTGTAGCTGTCTATTCGGTCATATTCCTGCGTTGACTGTCCCCTTCTCATAGTTGTCCCCTCATCTGCTGTGCCTGAACTTAGAGTCCTGACCCTTTCCATAATCTCTGTCCTATGATTTATTCTGGAAACTTTAATAATCTCTGCTGAGCCCTCCCCTCCTTTGACTTATTCCATAATTTTCTATGCAAGTGAACTCACACTCCATTATTTAACTTAAAGCCTCATCCACAGCCCAGCAGATGCGATTCACCAGGACTCTGGTCCCAACATAATTCAGGTGGGGCCCATCCCATCAGAACAGCTCCCTCCTTCTCAGTCCTGGTGCCAATGTCCCATGAATTTGAACTTGTTTCTCCTACACCAATCTTTGAGCCATGCTTTATGTCTTTAATCTTGTTGACCCTATGCCAATTTGAGCATGGCATGGTAATAATCCAGAGAATATTACCATTTTGGTTCTGATTTAAATTCAACCCCTAGCTGCTCATATTTCTCTTAGCAGAACTTCTTTCCTCTTTCTACCAACATTGTTGGTACCTACATGGACCACAACAATTGGATCTTTCCCTTCACACTCCAGATTCCTCTGCAGCCCAGATGAGATATCCTGAACCCGGGCACCAGGCAGGCAACACAGTATTGGGAATTGATGGATCTGACCATGTTGCCATGGAATGTCCCAATCAATTGAAATTCCTGTCTCCCTTGGGAATGTGTATACAGAAAAAAACCTTGCACCACAAGTCCATCAGGCAGCGGCCCAAACACAATGTCCCCTCCGCCCTTGGGTAAGGGAGATGTTAAACTTGTTGGATGATTCCCCGAGCAGACTCTCAAAGTCATTTGGTGGCATACCTCATCGGCAGAAATTTCAAACTGACAGAGGATCTCCCTTCTTCCCTGACCAGAGTCCCACCTCCTCTGCATGTTGTCTTCGGGGAGAATAGCCATTACCCACACTCTTTTGGGATGTGCCTTTGTGAAGAAGATGCAGAGAGATGTAATGGGTTTTGTTGAGGTTCATCCCGAGCAGCGTCAGCACTCTGTATTCTACGGGCTGTTCCTGTGATGTCTGCCCAGACAGTGATCAACTGCAGCTTGAGGACTGTCCACTCGGTGACATACATCCTTTGATCTGCCTGAAACGTGTGGGGTCTTCTAGTGCAAGTCACTAAGTGTAGCAGACCTGCACATTTCACAGTTTGGGACTCTGTGCCGAGGGTCAGCCACTGCAAAGGCCCAATGTGGAAAGGCCACACTCCAAAGCCTTAGTAAACTGAGGGACTAGAAACTGGGTAAAATCACTTGGGCTGTATGTCTGCTTCCTTTAACCTCATACATGTGTCCAGCTTCCCCTTAAGTGTATCTATGGTATTCACTTCAACCATTCCCTATCACAGTGAGTTCCACATTCTCACCTGGAATTTCTTCAGAATTTCCTCTTGATTTCTTTTGGAGTCTACCTTTTGTGGATAGCCTGCAGTGATGCTCTTCCTCAAAAGGGAAACTATCCTCTCCCTACCCACGCTAGCAAAACGTCAGGTTGCCTCTCAACCTTCTTCATCCACACTCAACCCAACGTGTCTCAAATGATTAATTCTTCTTGTTGTTGAGAGAAGAATATTTACCAAGATAGTGGGAGATCTCCCTTGCCTCTCTCAGCAGGGACTGGCTCAGCTTGCATTCCTGCTGCCTATGGCAAGGCCTAAACAATACTACATGGTACAAAATGAAGTAGAGCAAGATAGCAGACAAAGGCACATCTCTCCCCGACGCGCTCAATGCTTTCTATGCTCGGTTTAAGCAGAATGCCAGCAGCATGGTGACACCTTCCCCGACAGCCCCAGACACAACTGTTCCCTCTGTCACCACTGCAGGTGTCAGATCCATCTTCCTGGGAGTCAACCCAAGGAAAGTGACAGGCCCAGACAGTATCCCCGGCCGAGCACTCAGATCCTGTGTGGACCAACTGGCGGAGGTATTCACCGACATCTTCAACCTCTCCCTTCTACACACCGAAGTCCCCACCTGCTTTAAGTCCCCACCTGTACATCCTTTGCTTACTATGATCTGCCTGTACTGCTCATAAACAAAGCTTTTCACTGTATTTCAGTACCCGTGACAATAAATCAATCAATCAATCAATCATTCTGCAACTTAGATATCAGAATGAATTACAGTATTAATAAGGCTTATTTGTCACACCATTTAATGAAAGAAAGATGCGGACTTTGTTCCACATGTGTGGCAACATTGCTTCGACTTGACTCTAGGAATAACCTGTGTAGCACGTTCAAAATTTGATTGCTGTTGTCCCTCAGCCCTGCTGACAAGTTTTGTTTCCAGTTATAGTTTGAATTGACCTTCATTGTGTCAGCGAGTTTGTCGCTACATTGTCAGCTGTGTCTGAGTTGGCAGCCTGTAGGTCAGAACGCTGTGGGCTCCTACCTCACTGCAGGGACTCAAGTGCCAGGAGCCTGCTGAAGTGCCAGTGCAGTATTGAGGGAGTGCTGAAATGTCAGAGTGTTGTCTTTGAAATGAGTTGTTCAACTAAAGCTCTATCTTGCTCCCCTCAGGGACGTTCAAAAGATTTCAACAAAAGCATAACACTGTGGATATCTGAAGAAGAGTTGTAGGTGCCTGGAAACATTGACATTTCCTCTCTCCACAGATGTTTCCTGACCTGTTGAATACTAGCACCACTTTCTGTTTTTATCGTAGAAGATTTCACGTTTTCACTGGTGTCCTGGCCAATGTTCATCATCCGAACAACATTAGAATAAAGGACAGATTGTTTAATTGTGACTTCATTGTGTTTTATGGGAACTTGCTATGCACAAATTAGCTGCCATTTTTCCTGCATTTCAACAGTGACTGTGCTATTTTATTTTATCAAAGTAAAGCACTTTGGGTTGTTTTAAAGTTGCACAAGGAGCTATACAAGTACGAAACATTTTCTTTCCCTTGTTTCATTGTTGTGCAATTCGCCATTGTCAATTGGGGTACTTGTGGAGCAATGGCAGCATCCCTACCTCTGAACGAGGAGGGCTGGATTCAACACCCACCTGCTCCAGAGGTGTGTGTCTGAAGTGGTTGATCAGGGAAATATCTACCTTTCTTTACAAACATTTACACCGAAGCCATCCTGTCAATTCTACCAACGCTCCTTCTGCCTCAGGCAAACTGTGGAAAGATTCAATACTAATTACCTTTCTGCTCATTGCAGAATAATATCTTCCAGCAAAAGTGATCATTCGCTTTGATTGACAAAAGTATCAGCGCCTCTATCATTTTCAACATGACACCGCACGTCCTCATATTAAACTGAGCAAAGACCACCATGACAAGAGATTTGACTGACTGTGGAACAAAGCACTTTTCAATGCCACAGCTAGTTTTTGCCACATTTGAATAAAATACGAACCTCGCCCCATCAAGTCACACGTATATCTTTGTCAAGAACAAAGGGGCAGATCTCGGCATCATTCCACAGTCAAACAAGGGATAGCAGCTGATTGTCATGTTTTACAACATGGATCTACATATTGGGAGGGATGTGAAACCAGTTGCCAAATTGCTAGTGTACAAAGTTACAGGCAAATACTTGGATTTTGTTGCATTGTTTAATGTTATAGCTTTACAGGTTGAATTCCTGAACATTCATTCTTCCTAAGGTTCTTTATGTTCGGAGTCCTGGAGAGCCAAGTACTTAGAATTTTCCCTTTTTGCACGTGTCCTGAAGTATCTCACAGCAGAGATGGCACTGATATTCACCAGCAAAGCTGGAAAAAATACAAGAGCAACAATATGTTAGGATATCATGTTATGGTTGCACAAGACATTGGTTCAGCCACATTTGGAGTACTGCATACAATCCTGGTCACCCTCTTATAGGAAGGGTACTATTAGGATGGGTGCAAAAATTGATTTACTGAGACTGGAGGGTTTGAATTATTGGGAGAGGCTGAATAGGCTTGGACTTTTCTCTCTGGAGCCTAGGAGGTTGAGGGGTGACCTTATAGAGGTTTATAAAATCATGAGGGGCATAGATAAGGTAATTAGCAAAGGTCTGTTCCCTAGGGTAGTGGAGTTCAAAATCTAGAGCATAGGTTGAAGGTGAGAGGGGAAAGATTAAAAGGAACCTGAAGGGCAACTTTATCACACAGAGGCTGGTGTATACATGGAATGAGCTACCAGAGGAAGTGGTAGAGATGAGTACAGTACAACATCTAAAAGATATTTGGACACTATATGTTTAGGAAATGTTTAGAGGGATATGGGTCAAACACAGGCAAATGGGACTAGTTCAGTTTAGGAAACCTGGTTGGCATGGATGATTTAGGCCAAAGGGTCCGTTTCTGAGCTATATGGCTCTATAATGATGAGCTGAAACATGGTTTCCCATTTCTGCCCCACTTCGTGTGTGAAATACTAGTTGCCTGGGCTCCCAATCACCATCTGTTACATCGGAGGGGGTTGGTCTAGCTCAGTTGGCTGGATGGCTTGCGATGCAGAGTAATGGTAACAGCGTGGGTTCACTTCCCACACTGGCTGAGGTTACCATGAAGGGTTCTCCTTTTCAACCTCTCCCCTTGCATGAGCTGTGGTGACCCTCAGGTTAAACTACCACCAGTTGTCTCTCTCTCTAATGGGAGAGCAGACTTACACTGTGGTAACTTTGCATTTTGTTACAATAGCCAGTTTCCCTCCATTCGTGTGCAGTGGGCTGCTTAGTTCGAAAAGGCACTGCAGTTTTGCCTGATTCTGCTGTCACCTGCTGTCCTGCATGTTTTCCAGCATGAGGCGCTTCTGCTATGCCTGGGGCAGGTTGTAATTCCAACAATTTACAGCAGTCTGAGGTCCGTGACCTCAGTAAAAGTGAACGAGGAGGGTTGGGACTTTGTCATTGTACTTGACAAGTCTGGAGACATGTTTCCTCATTTTAGCCAACACCAGATTTCAATACTGTTGTCGGGGATGTGGGCATCATTAACAAGACCAGCATTTTGCTGTCACTCTCACCTCAGTGACATCTCAATCCTAATTCTGCCATCTCTTCCCTTGGCTATCCACCCCTTCTTCCCAGTGCTGTCTCCCCCACACAAACCCTTACAGTGTGGAAACAGACTCTTCAACCCAACGAGTCCACACTGACCCTCAGAGCATCCCACCCTCACACATTCCCCCTATAACCCACCTAATCTACACACCCCTGAACTCTACAGGCAATTTGGCACGGCCAAGCCTAGGCTGCACATCTTTGGACTGTGGGAGGAAACCGGAGCACCAGGAGGAAACCCACGCAGACACGGGGAGAATGTGCAAACTCCACACAGACAGTCGCCCGAGGGTCGAACCAAACCCGGGTCCCTGGCGCTGTGAGGCAGCAGTGCTAACCACTGAGCCACCGTGCCACCCCATGAATGAAGGCAGCTACTGATTCCCCTCTGTCTATTTCTGGTATTACTTGCTTCCTTTGAACCCTGTAGGCAGTGGCAATTAGATTTTGAAGCATTGAAAGGACGTATCAGGTGAGCACAGTTTTACCTCAGCTGTGGCCGGGGTATTGAGGCTGCTCTCAATACAATGCAGGAAGAGCAATGAGCTATGGATGTGTTGTTTGTTATACAGTCTGTTGTATGGATCAGCACCACTGCCACAAGACAGCCAAGGGTCTAGGCCTGAAACGTCAGCTTTCCTGCTCCTATGATGCTGCTTGGCCTGCTGTGTTCATCCAGCTCTACACCTTGTTATCGCCAATGAACTGCGTTGGCGGCATTTCCTGCTTTTGTAAACATATACCTGCACTGTTTGAATACTCACCAACTTTCCACATATCTGACTGGGAAGCTGCTGATTTCATAGCCCATGAAGCACAAGCAAAACAAAATAAACAGAGATCTTTCCGAGTGCGGGACAGACAGGAATGTCTTCTCCCTAAGCGTAGAAAAACAAAGATAGTTTTTTTTTAAAGTTACTAATCAAATTTGAAATCCTTCCTTGCACAGTGAACAATTGCAAAGGGTAGTGGAGATAGAGACCCTCAAAACAGACAGTCAGAGTGGCTGAATGTCCTGACACATCATATTTGACACACTTTTAAATTTTAGGTTGAAAACACTGGGGAGATCAGAATCAGTCAGCCTTTCTGTTGTGCTATTACATAGATTCCAGATTAGACAGGCAGAGTATCTTTGAAATAGTTATATGCTGTCATGCATGTGACATTGCAGTATGACATTTCCCACCTTCAGTAGCTCTTTCTTAACCGTGTGTTCAGTCAGTCAGTTATGTGTATGTAATGTACAGTAACATCAGTAAGCACAGAATCCACTCTATGCACGAGTCTGCATAAGCAATGTAAATAGTTAGTGTTGCTCATAAACTTCAAGACATTTGTCTCAATAAGAATATGATGTCCATGGCGCATTTTGCATGAGCTAATGTATGTAGTGCAGCACACAGACCACATCACACAGCTAGTTAGTGATAACTAAAGTGTTGGAAAGGTGTTAACAGCATTGATAGTTGTGAAGCATCCTTTTCCCAACAATCATTTCTCATTATATACCTAGGTTCAGACCTGAAGTTAGCAATTCAGACTAAAGCGCTGAAGCAAAAAACAGTTGTGTGCATTCTCTCTCTCTTTAAAATAAAATAGGAGGTCACGGCTGACCTGACTTTTTCTCTAAAAACTAGAGTTTAGAAGGACAGTTTCAATCTGCTGCAGCTCTCCCAGAACAAAATACAGCCCAAAATATTAAAACATGAAGGTTTTGTGCATTTAAAAAAAGCCTTATCTGTGTCCAAACATCAGACAATTCTGTCATCCTGCTTCTTTGAAATGGGGCAAAAATTTTAAAAAGCATCTATGATGTTGTTGCTCAGTATTTTGCTTGAATGCCACCTCTACAAACAGAAGCCTGCAACTTATACAGAAAGAAACAAGAAATAAAATAACAGAAATTAAATAAAAATAGCAGTCCTACACTAACACAGGTTTTTATAGTAACACGTTTAAAGAACATAAAAAGCACAATGAAGATGGAAAGCAAATATCTGAGTATGGATTGGTACTTAATAAAATCCAAAAGAACTGATCATGCTGTAAATCAGAAACAAAAACTGAAATTGCTGGAAAAGCTCAGCAAGTTTGGCAGTATCTGTGAAGAGTAATCAGAGTTAATGTTTCATGTCCAGTTCTGAGGAAGGGTCACCGGACCCAAAACATTAACTCTGATTTCTCTTCACAGATGCTGCCAGACCTGCTGAGCTTTTCCAACAATTTCTCTATTTGGGTATGGATTGGCACTTCATTGACAATTGGTCAAAATTTCAGTTATTTAAACAATGTATCAATTTATTCTCATTAAATCAAGGATAAAGAAAAGAAAATAATCAAACTCCTTATTTTTGTTGGAAACAAGGGATTAAGAAGAGTTAAATCCCCTGCTGTTTCTTTAAAGATTTTCCAGATTTGAAGTTAATTTTCCAGACTTTAGAGGACAAACTTAAAATTCAAATCAACTTCAGGATACACTGACTCACGTTCATGTCCTACTGGCAACAACCAGGTGAAACAATTGACCAATTCATTAACATAGGTGCTGATATAAAGGTTTGGATGTAATTTCACCAAAGCTTGCTTATTTGAAAGGCTTGTGGAACTGATCATTTTCTCCTCACCTAACAAATCCTTCTGAAAGCCAAAGAATATACTATTGATGCATTGCTAGAAAAAAGACGCTGGTTCACAACAATTGTAGCAAGTCAGTAGCATCTTGGCTCTTGAACAATTACTGCAACCGTCAACAGATTCAATGGAACATCCAAATCTTGTATGAGATATGGATTGTCTCACCCACCATTACAGTCGTCCAGTATTTCAGGACACACGCAAACTATGTTCTGCAAGAGGACGCTGGTTTAAATGTGAATGACTCCAATTGCCCAGGGAAACCGAAACTGCAACTCAATGCTCCACAGCAGCACGTGAAAAAGAGTCAACCAAGGAAGGATGTCAAGGTTACTTCCAAAGCTCAATTCATAGTATGTGCATATGAGTGGAGTCCAAGAGGTGTCTACAATGCCACGGCCTACAGATCCCTGTTAGACAGTACAATGCGGTCAATTTGACACATTACACTGATGCTGTCAGAAAACCTAAAGTGTTTGCTTCCATGCAAGTGATACACTCCAAAAGGAATGGACAATATGCGCTAAATGCCAAGAATGACTGAAGTGCAAATATCATCCTTAATGCATCTTACAAGGGATCTTACAAGAAAACTGTTGTGCAGTCCACACATGATAGGACATCTGCTTTCAATGGACCTGACATCCCATGCATTGGAATCATCCATCTTCAATGTTAATACAGTTTCTCGGTGGTGGACATTTTTTACATCATTGAAACCGCATGACCAATTTTTATTGGTCTACCAGCGTAGAAGGACTACATCTTATTATGATTCATGAGGTAAGAAAGCTGTCAGTTAAAACACCAAGAGTCAAGGGTATCCATCAACATTAACAATTAAGAGAACTTATCCTTCCCAATTAAATTCATTCTGAGCCAAGGTGTAAGACTGTGATGCCTATTTTCCACTTCCAAGGACACAATTACATTCTGGACACTGACTCCTTCACCAAGTTCCTTTCGGTGCCATGTCTCAAAGATACCACCAACGCAACAGTCATTGACAGCATTTAAAATTCTTGTATGGGTGTGGGTATCGCTGGCAAGGCTGGCTTTTGTTGCTCATCCCTCATTGTGTTTGGGCTGATTGACTAACTCAGAGGGCAGTTAAGAGTCAACCACATTGCTTTGGTCTGGAGCCATGCGTAGGCCAGATCCCGGTAAGGATGGCAGGTTTCCTTCCCTGAAGGACATTAGCGAAGCAAATGGGTATTATTACAATGGTCACGTGGTCACCATTAGGCTGGCTTTCTTAGATAAAGTTCCAAATGTTTCATCGAATTCAAATTTTAGCCATCTTGTCGTAGTGGATTCGAACCCATGCCCCTGGAACACCAGCTTAGGTCTCTAGATTATTAGGGCAGTGGCAATAAGACTATGGCAATAGCTCATGTCAGCTAACATAGAAAGGACACTCAGACCGTAGTATATCGGCAATGGTGTTTGACCCAAGCAACCATATCATGGTGGCACATCACTAACAATAGAACGCACAAAAACTCATGCCTTGACGATCCAGTCAATGAACAATTTCAAAAAGAGGGCTGTCCATTTCACAACGGGCTGATTGACGTTTGCCCTGTTTGTACATATTCTGGTTCATTTTCTCTGGCAGTGCATCAGTTAATAGGCTGTGAAGCATTTCCTTTTTACATTATGGTTGCATAGTTGTTAAACAACTTATTCTTATGCCTGCAGTAAAATAATATGGACAAGTTATCAGAGAAAGTTAAACCCTCAAGTGTCGGCATTTTCTTCACGAGTCCTGGGACACAAAAATAACAAAAATGCTCATAGCAAACCGTGAATATATCCCAAGGTGGAGAAGCTGTTTTGTGATTACAGTGTTTGTTTGTTTTACTATGGCATGAGAATTGGTGAAGGCAGAGTCAGCCTGGGATGTGATGGCTCCCATGGCCAAACAGCCTGCAATGCTCACTGTGAAGATTGAGAGCAATCAGAGATCCCAGGCTTCAGAAAATGTCAGTGGCTTCGGGAGAAATGAGCAGACAATTGGAGGGAAAAATAGTTCAAACAAACCTTCACCTCTGCTGAAAGGCTGGGCTTTGGTAATGATTTACCAAATGATGGTCAAGAGTCTTTTTTTCTGTTCAGACAAGCTAAGTAGAAAAGCCCAGAGTCTATCTCGACTGGATTGAGAACAAAACTTTTAGCTGTCAGAGCTAATCTGAATCACAGTCTAGATTGCTAGGAATCTGAGCTGGCACATGGGCCACCTACAGGGATGCAAACTGAGATAAACATCAACTGCTCCTGGAGAACAATAAGCATTGTGAAAGACGCTGAGCATTCTGCACTAAATTACTGCGCTTCCTGACCAAGTACTGCAGACTGGCACAATCCAAAGTCCAGAACTGTGTGCTGAAGGCAACACTAATGACAACAGCCTCTAAAAAGGCTGAAATGTGAAAAGCCCATTCAGGTCCTCCTGCCGTAGTACACTGAGAAGATGGAAACTGTATAAAACCCCTTGGGGGCTGCACGTTAAAACTGAATTACATTTTACAATGTAAATATAATCTACAATTGCAATTGCAAGTGTAGTGAGTCACCTCAGGGTGTCATACACTGGACTGAAACATATAAATCTGCATTTCCTGCCATGCATTGTCAAATTTGAACAGTTCAGTGATGTACTCTTTGCAAATTATACGAGTTAAGTATATTTTCGGAATAAATCAAAATAGATGGTAGAATGGAACTCAGACAGGCAGGAGACCGGGCCTGTTCTTTCTTTCAACTTGCAGCCTGGATAAGTTTGTTCAGTTGACTCAATAGTTCTGAAGAGAACTTGTCAGGTCTGGTACAGCTTAGGATGTGTGCCCAGTACATTCCTGCAACTATAAGTCACATCAATTAGGATTTTGGGGTTAGCCTATCCCGAGTAGGACAATTATCCGAGAGCTCAAAGCTCAGATATGGCATCATTTCACTCTCTCTAATTAACCTGAGCAAATGAATTAACGCGCAACATATTCTCATTCAGCAATAGATATCACGTCAGTACTACTTCCCTAACATGGCAGCTTACCCAGAGCTCATTAAGGTTCTTCTGATACTAATACTGGGCTAATATTCAAGTCCCACCCAACCAGGGGTGTATTGTAACATGTGTGAACAAATTAATTTAAAAAGTTTTCTTACTGAGTTCATTCAAGAAGATGATGGGCTTTATTTTTCAGAATGCTTCTGAAGTCCATTCAGTTTCAATAG